GCAGCCCCGGTCCTAGTACCGGGGCGTTGGCTTCTTGGCATCATTCTCATTTATTAGGAGTGTTGGAGCCACATTCTTCCTGGGAGTTGATTGTCAGTTCCCAAAATCAAGTTGCACTTTGATGGTGAGATCCTGCAGTCTTGAATTGTTATACTTATGTCATGTCACATCCCAAATCTTCCCCAGATTTGGGATGATGAACATACAGGAGCAATTAACTTGAGGTTCCTCAGGGCAAGATTTACGCCTGTAACTTTGCGGGCTGCAGGAGCCATCTGTAGGGAAGTGCCTTCCCCTGAGTAACATGCCTTGGGAGACTTCTGCTTGGACTGTGAGGGGAGCGAGCACCCTCTGTGCAAAGCACTCTGCAGGCTGCCCCACCCTACCCCTTAGGGCAGAGCTGTCTTGGTCACACGTTGGAGATGCTGAGCTGTCAGGATGTCTGGGAGGATGAGGAGTGCTCCCAAGTTTGGAGCCTGCAGACTCAGAGCCCCGGGGAGAATGTACAGGCTGGCTGGAGCTGAGGGGCAGAGCCACGTCTGTGGTGTCCTTGGAGGTCACTGATGGCAGGATGTGGGTCATGGCCTAGTTGTGTGCCTTCTGTGCACATGTCCCCCACACGCAGGCTGCTGCCTGGTCCTTCTCAAAATCAAGGTGACCTTCCTGCAGACAGATGAACATACACTTTATGTTTGGATATACCCTAGCAACCAGTCTTGTGTGCGTGGCCATGAGATGATTCTTGGAGTGTGGAGCAGGTTGTCTTCTGATTAGAGGCTGGAATTTTCAGTCCCCCTGCCCTACTCCTAGGAGGGTGAGGGACTGGCCTGGAATTAGCTAAATGCAAACACCAGTGACCCAGGATTTCTCAATTAGGCTGATGTAAGAGGACCTCCATAAAAACCCTAAATGAAGGAACTTCTGCATTGGTGAACACTTTGGGGTGAAGGAGGGCAGTGTGCCCAGAGAGGGCACGAAAGCTCGTCTCCTTCCCCATACCTCGCCCTCTGCATCTCTTTCACTGGACCATTCCTCAGTCGTAGTCTTTATAAGTGTTTCCCTGAGTTCTGTGAGCCATAGAGCAAATTATCCAACCTGAGAGGGGATTGTGGGAACCCTCAATGTATGGCTGAGTTAGACAGAAGTGACGGTAACTTGGGGACTTCCTACTTGCAGTTGGTGTCTGGGTGAGTCCTGTGGAACTGAGCTCCTTCCCTGTGGGTCTGTGGGGCCCATGTTAGCTCCAGGCAGCTAATGCCAGGCCTGCTAAATATTTGGGAAAGGCCACATTTGCTACCAGAAGTGTTGAGAATAGAGGAAATGTTTTCTTTAGCCATGTTAGTAGTGATTCCAACACACAGGCCTGTTTCATTTGGATTTTCCACTCAAACTTTCTGTAAGCAAGGCTGATGCCATCAAGGAAAATGCACAGCAGATGAGTGTGAATCACAGGTGTCAGTAGGGCGGACAGCAGCATGGAGGGCCGCACTCGGCCTCTCTGTGCTTTGGTTTACACACATCTGCTGGGGGCCCACAAGGTGCTGGAATGTACTAGAATGAACTCCTTGTAGAGTCAAGTACTTGGCCCTCAAAAGCCAAGACCTACCTGGTGGCATGCAAGATTGTTGGCCTGACTTCTAGAAGGGAGAGAGCTTCCAATTTGGCTTTAGCAAGGTTGTCATCCTCTGGGTGCCTCAGCCAGAGGACAGTCTGATGGCAGGACCACAGACACTTCAGTCAGGAAAGTGTGGCAAAGATTGGAATCTGGGCTCAACCTGTTGCTGGAGGAGCATCTTGCACATGACAGTGGCCTCTTGGCTCCAGAATTTCCTGACTTGTGGGACATTACATAATGACCATCTTGTCTGACAGCCCTGACCTGCAGGGTGAGCCCCAGTAGCTCGGTTTCTTCAGGAGCCAGGCATGGTTCAGCAGCTTGCCTCTGACTTATCCAGTTCTGCAGCAACTTTGGGAGGATTTCCAGAGTGAGTAGATGAACATTCCACAAGTGAGGCAGGAATGTCAGTGGGCCAAGTGCCTGTGCCCAAGCCTGTGTGATCAGCACTGGTCCCAGTGATCGACCAACCTTTTGGCTGCTGCCCCTCCTGGAGGCTGCTCTATCATCATCACTGTCCTCTTCCTTATAGGCTAGGCTTGACACAGAAGCACAGTCCTGTTCTCAAAAACCTGGACCAGTGGGAAGTACAGCCGAGTAGATAAAGAACACCTGATGGCAGAAAAGACATAGATTCTTTTTTTTTTTTTTTTAAAGATTTATTTATTTATTTATACATGCACTGGGTACAGTCAGAAGCGCGGGAGGGTGAGAGAATTCACCAGAGCCAGAGCGGGGAGCAGAGCAGGCAGAAGGACCAAAGTACACTGCTGAGGGGAGCAGCGGGCGGCAGGAGAGGTCTGCGCGCCATGTGGGGCCCTCCTCCGGTGGCCGGGGAGCAGCCGGGTATCAAACCGGTGCCCCAGAGGCTGCGGGCAGCTTCGCAACCCAGCGTTCAACTACTGTGCCACTGGGCAGGCCCAGAAGAGACATAGACTCTGTAGACAAACCCCATACTCAAGCAGGAGAGCTGAGGAGTGATAATTGTCTGCCAAGGGCTGTCACATTCCTCTCTCTCCTCCTTTTAAATGGCTTAAATAATCAATGTACAGTAAACTGCACATATTTGAAGTCTATAACTTGATGCATTTTGACATATGTCTACTCCTGTGCAACCATCACCAGTCAAGACAATGAATATATTCTTCACTCATTTCCTTGTGCCTCCTGAAATCCCTCCTTCTTGTCCCTCCTGCACCACTCAGCCAACCATTGTTCTGCTGTCAATCACTACAGATCAGTTTCCATATTCTAGAGATGTATATATATGGCATTTAGTATGTGTATTTTTTTGGACTGTCTTTTTTCACTCATCATTATTATTTGGAGGTTTATCATGTTGCATGTTTAAATAGTTTGTTCCTTTTTTTAATTTATTTATACAAGAGCTGGGGTACAGGCCAGATGCATGGAGGGTGAGAGAATTCACCAGAGACAGAGCCGGGAACAAAACAGGCAGACTGACGAAATACACTGCTGAGGGGGACAGCAGGCAAGACAGGAGAGGTCTGCTTGCCATGTGGGTTGCTCCGAAGCCGGCGGGGATCGAACCGGCACCACAGAGGCTGCGGACAGCTTCACAGCACTGTGCTCAACCACCTGCATCACCAGGGAGGCCCAGTTTGTTCCTTTTTATTGCTGAGTAGTATTCCATTGTACGAATTGTATGAAATAGTTTGTTTCTCCATTTATTTGCAGATGGACATTTGAGTTGTTTCTAGTTTGGGGACTATTGCAAACAATATTGCTAAGAGCATTCATGTACAAGTATTTGTGTGAGAATATGCTTTGATTTCTCTTGGATCAGCGCCCAGGAGTGGAATGGCTGGTTGATGTATATTTCAGTTTTTAAAAAGTTGCCAAATTGGTTTTCCAAAGTGGTTGGGTCATTTTACGTTCCCTACAGAAGTTTAAGCAGGCTGTAGTTGCTCCATATCCTTGTCAACATTTGGTATGGTCAATCTTTTTAATTGCAGCCTGTTTAGTAGGTGTGAGTGGTATTTCACTGTGGTTTGAATTTGCATTTCCTTAATGATGAATGATGTTGAGCATCTTTTCGTGTGTTCGCTTGTCATCCATATATTTTCTTTAGTGGAGTATCTCTTCAAATCCTTGGCCCTTCCTTTAAGTTTGACTATTTGTATTAGTATAACATGTAAAATAATTATAGTTTACGCTATGTTATATGTATTACTTTTCATTATGTATTATATTATATGCTGTATAGATTTTTGTGTTATATAAATATTTGCAAACTATATATCCAAAAAAGACTTATGTTTCAAATATGTCATGTATTTATACATGCTATATTTTAGCTTTCTGGTAATTATGTAGTTTACAAATATTTTGTGTAGCTTAGTTTTTTATTTTTGGAGCAGTGTATTTTGAAGCACAAAAGTTTTCAATTTTTTTTTTTAAGATTTATTTATTTATTTATGCAAGCAGTGGTTACAGTCAGAAGCACGAGAGGGTGAGAGAATTCACCAGAGCCAGAGCAGGGAGCAGAGCAGGCAGACTGAAGTACACTGCTGAGGGGAGCAGCGGGCGGCAGGAGAGGTCTGCGCACCATGTGGGACCCTCACCCGGCGTCTGGGGATCGAACTGGTGCTGCAGAGGCTACAGGCAGCTTCGCAACCCAGCGCTCAACCGCTGCGCCACTGGGGAGGCCCAAAAGTTTTCAATCTTGATGAAGATTTTTACTTTATCTTATTTTTGTAAGAGCTCTTAAATTGATGATTTAAAAAAATTTTTTTTGAGATAATATTGGTTTACAACACCGTATATGTTTTAGGCATACAGGTTCACACTTCTTCAAACGTATGATGCCATATCATGCCCCCCACCAAGTACTAATAACCTTCCACTGCAGTCCATTAGCTCCCCTCAAGCCTTTGCTTCAGCCACCCTGCCCTGTACCCTGAATTCTGCTGTCATAATCCAAGGGTTTGTTTTGGCCTGTTTGTTTTGTTTTGCTTTGTTTTTTTTATGTTCCTCATATGAGTGAAATCATCCAATATTTATCTTTCTCCTTCTGACTTATTTTATAGATTTGTTTCTTACATTTAGGTCCATGATCCATTTATGAGTTAGTTTTTGTATATGGTATAAAGTAAGGATCTAGGTTCAGCCATTTTCTTTAAAGATTCCTGGCACTCAGGGTCGATGTTCTGCCTTCTACCCCCAACACTACCCCCTAAGCTATTCAGCCTCTCACCTCTGCTGTACACTAGCGCTTGGTGTGGACAGAGACTCCCCCCTCACTCACCCTGCTCTGGCTTGTTCTGAGCACCCATCTGGCATGGATCATAAACCAGACTGCACCCATTCAAAGCCATTCCACTCTTGATTACTGTTTAGTTAGGGTGACCATTTGCCTTTCCAGACATCCATCTCCTGCTGACAGCCAAAAGGTGTGGAACTCCATCCTGGAAGAAATAATCGACTGTTGGGTCTAAAATCACACTGGAATCTCAACTAGCCTGACATCCTTGTTGACATATGCAGAAACCCATGTGTGCAGGAGGAAGGCGCAGCCTTCTAGAATGGAGGCAGATGTTGTCATCTTCATAGCAGGAATGAGCAAAGGGAGATGTCATCAAACTCAGTGACTTACCCAAGGTCACCCCACTGGCCTGTCACTGAGTGTCTGACCTTAGAGTGTGCCTTAACCCCTGGGTCCAGAAAGGACCTGGGTTCAGACCTCTCTCTTCCAAGCCAGCAGTTCCCTCTCTATAAATGCTGCAAGTTGCATATGGAATTTTCCTGCCACTGAGACCAATTCATTCTTTTATGGTTTCAAAGGAAAGCAACTTCAATGGATGAGGACTTTCAAAGGGAGTGTTTAAGGTCAAAGATGAGGTTTGGGAGAGGCTGGGCTTTACCCTTTTCCTTTTTTCAAATGGATCCAGCCTGTATTTTTTTCATCTGCCTTTTGTTGCATTCAGAAATGAGGTTGTCCTGTAGGGTTCAGGGATTCACTCACATTATCAAGCCTGTGGAATAATGTAGGTAAGGGCTGCCTGAATGCCTTCTTTCAGTCCTGCACACATCGAGCCTCCATGACGCCTGACTGTCCCTATCAAAACCCAGGTTTCTCAGCCTGGCCACTTTCCCACCTTAGACTCTTTTCTTTGGTTCTTTCACTAGGCCTCTGTCCACCCAGCCAGGTTGATCACCTCGGGACATCCACACCCTTACTTAGTATACCCACATCCCTTTACTTAGTATACCCTTATCCCTGCCCCTGAGCTTTACATACATGAGTGCCCCTTGAGAACTGCTTGGGTCCCAGTTTCTGTCAGCTGGACAGGCCTGCTCATGCCTTGGCCCTCTCAGGCCTGGCTGCCCTCACATGCACTAAGCCTGTCTCTGAGGCTCAGCTTGCAGAAGCTCTTTCTCTGTGGCGTGACTCTGGTATCTAGGCCCCATCACATGTGTCTCTGCGGAGCTCACCCATGTATCTTATCTCCCTACCAAGACAGCAGACTCCTCTGGAAACAGGTCTGATCCTTCCTCATTCCAGCTTATCTCCCCAGCACCAGCGTCGCCCTCACAGCACCAGGTCTATGTGTATTGCTCCCATCTGATTTGCCCAGCCAGGCCCAAGGTTTGGCAGGAATGGGGGAAGCTTGCCCACTGCAGTTTATAGATTTCCTGCGAATCTGGAAAAGATGCAGGCACAGCTTGTAGAGATGCAAACCGCCCTTGGGGATGGAGACTTGGTGTTCATAGAGGTTCCCTCTCACCTCTGGAGACAAGAGGAGGGAGAGGGTTCTGAGGAAGGAAGAGAAGTCCTGAGCACAGAACTAGCCCTTACATCTCCCAAGGGTGCCCCTGTCCACAGCAACTTCTCTGTTGCTTCACACAGCCAGAGGGCACAGGCACGAACACGCCCCGTGCCCAGTTTCAGGAGAACAAGCCCCGTCCTCTGAGCTGGGCCGTGCGGGAAAGGGTCTGCTCACGTGCAGCTTCTACCCATCTGCTGGAACTGAATTTAAAGAATTCAGAAAACACTCATGCCATGTGCCACAGAGGGTACTGCTTTTGGGGGGAGGGTGAAGGGTGAACTAGGCGTGGTCCTGACTCCCAGTAATCTGTCCTTCTAGCAGAGCGGTTGGCGCACGAACACACTTGTGCATGCTGCACGTCACTGGCGATCACTAAAGGCAGGAGCTCTTTCCCGGGGTGGGGGTGGCATGGGATGAGAATTCCGGAAGGGATTGCAGAGGAAACTTCAGGAGGGATCAGAGTGAGCAAAGACCAGGAGTTAGGGTCATGCAGGGCGTCCTCAGAGGATGGGTCAGCGGACGTTACCTGAGCATAGACTGAGACAGGAGCAGTCTGTAGAAATCCTCGAAAGTCAAGAAACAGGAAGCAGAACGATGGTTGCCAGGGACTTGGGGGAGGGGAAGGGGAACAGGGAGTTGTTTAATGCGGACATGCTTTCAGCTTTGTAAGATGAAAGGGTTTTGGAGATGGATGGTGGTGATGGCCGCACAGCAGCGCAGCTGTACTTAATACCCCTGGACTGGACACTCACAGATGGTTAGGGTGGTAGATGTTATGTTAGGTGCGTCTTCCCACGTTAGAAAAAAAACCTTGAAAGCCAGCTTAGTGATTAAGGGCACCGTCTCTGAGTCAGACAAGCAGCCTCGGGTTTGTTGCTTCAGAATTGGGTAACCCTGGGCAAGTTAGTTCATTTCTCAAAGCCCAGTTTCATCATCGGTAAAACTGGGATGATGTTTAAACTGCCTGATGGAGTAGCTGCGAGGAGGGAATGAAGGACGTGCCTGCATGCAGAGTGCTCAACAGATGATCGTTATGAATCTTTCTAGTCTGACCCCCAGTCCTTTGGAAGTGATGGGCAGGTGAGAAGGCAGAGATCAGCGATGGCTCAGCAGGCTTTAAGGGGAGGACTGAAGTGTCAGGTAGCGCTGGGAAGAACAGGTGGGAGGCTGTTGCCAAAGCCCAGATGAGCGCTTATTGGTCAACACAGGCACTGGCAGGCCAGGGTCAAGCGGGGAAAGGATACCCGTGCGCAGCGCTGACAGGCGTCAGACCTCCAGAGAGGGCTGGGAGTGGCCCAGGTGACTGGGGCAGAAGTAGAGCAATCTGGAGAAAGCCACACGCACATACCCACCGCCCCACCCCCAAGGATAAGCCCTTGCCTTGGGGAAGCCCAACACAGCGTGGTCCGCAAAAGGGTATGCCACCTGATGGTGCTCAGACATGTGCAGTAGACAAGTAGTGACGGCACCTCTGTCGGGAAGCAGCGGGGTGCTCTGGAGATGGAGGATGACTTCCCAAGGCCACGTGGAGCCCTGAGAAAGGCCCAGATCTATCATGCGCACACTCTCTGCTCCTAAACCTACGGCCTTCTTTGGTGCTTTCTATTTTTCTCTTTTTCATGTTTATTTCTCTTCTGGGTTGGTTATTTTTTATTATTTTCTTTTTTCTCGTCTATTCACTGAAGTTATATGCTATTTCTTTTGTCTTTTGGATTTCTTAGAAATCATCACATGCATGCTTATCGAGCTCTAAAGTGAGGCAATCACTTTACCTTCCTCTTTGATGATGCAGAACCTTAAACTGAACTGTTTACTCCCTCCTGTCTTTCATATTATTGTTCAGTACTTTAATTCTATTGTTTTGTTGTAACCTCACAAGCCATCATAACTATTTCTTTATTATACAGCTAATTTTTATTTAGTTTTACCCACCTATTTTCCACCTTTTTCTTTTTTTGCTCCTCATACCTCTTGCATCTCAGATCTTCTATGTGAAATCATATTCTTTTCGCCCAATATACATCTTTTGCAATATCCTCTAATGAGTGTTTCCTGCTTACACGTTCTCTCGGTTTTTGGTTGTCTGAAAATGTGCTTGTTTTGTGCCCATTTGCCAAAGGCGTTTTCACTGGATAAAGAATTCTGGGTTGTCACATTCCCTCCATGCTCAGCTATTGTTGCTGTTGATACATTGACTGTTATTCTACCATCCATTGACTCTCTTTGATTTCTCTCTCTCTCTCTCTCTCTCTCTCTCTCTCTCGTTTGTTCTGCAGTTTACTACATGTGTTTAAGTTTGTCTGTCTTTTCTTCTTTTTTAATCCTGCTTAGAATTTCTTGTTATCCTGAACATCTACGAATGGTGTCTCATCAATTCTGGGAAATTCTCAGCCAGTATCTATTCAAGTATTGCCTCTCTTCATTCTCTCCTCTCCTTTGAGAACGCCTACTAATATAGACCACTCCTTTCCATGTCTTAACCTTTATTCCTTATTTCTATCTTTTGGTCTCTCTGTGCTGCTTTCTGTTGCTTCCCCCCCCCCCCTTTCTAGTCCATCTGCCAGTTCACAAATTGTCTCTTCAGCTGAGTCTAGTCTTCCATGGCATTTAAAAATTTCAGTTATGTTATTTTTCATTTCCAGAAGTTCTGTTTGTTTCTTCTCCAAATCTGTTGTCGCTGTTTATAGTTTTCTGTTTCCTGCAGAAATCTTCCAGCTTGTCTTTTGTTTCACTAAACGCAATGAGCCTGGTGGTTTTATGATCAGTACTCAGGCCATGAGCTGAAATTGTTGTAGGTCTGTGTTTGCTGTCTGTTACCTCTGCTGGTTGTTGTTCACTCTTTCCTCGTGTACTTGGTTATTTTTGGCTTGTAGTTATGGTTCAGTATACGTGAACATCGTGCCTGTGCTTAGCCAGCTAATGGTAGTTCCCTTTCCTCTTATTGCCTGGTGGGAATGGATCTTTGGGACAAAACAGGAGCCCAGTCATCCAATCTGAGACCCAAGGCTCAGAGCTGAAGCCTAGAGTTCCCCATTCTCCTTCAGCCTGAGGTATCAGCTGAGGTTTGACTGGGAGACAGGTCCGGCAGCCATCAGCTTGGCCAGTGCCAGTAACAGGGTGGGTGGGGTGGGGAGTAAGCACTTGACCACCAGCTCCAGTGCCAGCAAGCATGAAAGGCCCCTGGAGAGTCTGGTCCCATGAACTCAGCAGCATCCCCAGAAGTACTGCCATTAGGCTTGTGAGGTTATTTTAACAGCAGACAGTTTGAGTTGCTTGGCTTGTGAGCCGACTCTCTGGAAAAAAACGTTCCCAGTTGGGTCTAGAAGGCCACTGACAAGTGTTAATTCCCAGAACAACTAGCTTCCTGGGGCCAGGAGGCTGGGGTCCCATTCACCATGGGAAGCTGGAAGAAGGGAATCCCCGGGGGCCCCATATGCTCTTCCCAGAGTCAATTCTGGTCCCTCTACCCCCTCCATTTCATCCCCTTACCTGGGTTATCAGCACTCTCCTGGCACCAGAGGCTTTTCATATGTTTCCAAGATTATAGACATTGCTTTCTGTGGATAACACTTTCTCTCCAAGGAGAGTTCTCAAAACTCAGGTCAGTCGACCCTGCAGTGTCCTGCATCCTTAGCCTCATTAAGTGTTGGTTGGGGAACCTCTTACCATTCCCTGGGCTTAACCTCAGTCATTCCTGGCCCTTGTGCTGGTTCCCTGACCTCTCAACTCTTTCTCCATTCTGACAGTGTGTTGGAGGCTCCCAGCCCAAATAGACCTTTCTAGATTTCAGAATCAGGTGGAGTGGGGAGTTGGTTGGAACCATTGCGTTGGCTGTAGAGCAGGTCTGGGAGAATGGGAAATCCTATTCTAAATCATTATAGAATATGTTCTAGAACGGAGCCACTCTCTTATCAAATTCAGCACTTTTTGCCATTTTACCTGTACACAGGCGTGAGATAATTTTTAAAACAAGCTCATCCACCTT